GAGTCCGAGAAAGTTGCTCCCCCATGTGACGTAATATGACGCGTTTGACATATGACGTTAAAAAAAAGCAGTTTTTAGTAGCAGAGCTCAAAACGGCTCCTTTCCCTCTGAATTCTTGCCCTTATGTCTTGTAAAACATATAAAATCCTGCATTAACTTTTTTAATTGTAATTTTCAGACAAGGTTAAGCATAAATATAGTACAAAAAAAAACCCCTGCAAGTTGCTCTTTAAGCAACGTAAAACGTGCAGACCGGGAGCAACAGACGTAGGTGAGCCTTATTTGGATCAGGCTGGAGTACATCGGTTACTCCTATATTTAGCCTACTTACTGTTAACTAACTAATGCTAACATAACTGTTCGCTAGAAGTACACAGCTTAATCAACCATATTTAACTGGCCATTGTCCTCTCAGCCTGAAATATCAATCACTTCAATTATTACATTACATGTCATTTTTATCCAAAGCGACATACATTCAGTACTGTGGACAATCCCCACAGGAGCAATTTGGGGTGAAGTGTCTTGCCCAGGGACACAACGACATGCTGACTGCAGTGGGACTCGAACTTGCTACCCCTGATTCGTAGTCCAGCACTCTATCCACTGAGCCACAATAAATGGTAAAACAAAAAAGGAAAGGTTCTGGCGCAATTTCGGTTTAGTTAGCTTGTTAGCTTATTGCAGCTGTGCATGTTGCTAGCGGCAGGGGCGGACTGGCCATCGGGACGTTCGGGACGAATCCCGATGGGCCGGTACAGAAGTGGGCCGGTCGGACGATGTGGGCCGGTCGGATAACTCACTAGCACACCCCCCCCCCCCCCCCCCCCCCCCCCCGTTGATAATTTACTTGCGGTACCGAAGTGGGCCGGTCGAGAGTCCCGGGCTGATTTGCCCACCTCACGAGCTGCGCCAGGTGATGTAAACAAGAACACCTCCATAGACCAGACTGTCTCAGTTTGTAGACTGCTCGGTCCAGGCTCCAGCCTACGGCTGCGGTGCTGTTTTTCTATAAATCCATGCTGAATTGGACCTTCTGTTTCATTCTTCTTCTTTAATGGCGACTTCCAAACAGAGTAGACGAGAATTATCGCCACCTACTGTATCACTGCAGCATTGTTCTTTGTTACTTCCGTTTCATTACAATGACTTCTGTTTCATTACAATGACTTCCGTTACAGCAAGAATCCCCCTCACACACATAGGTGAAACACATGCACACTCCCTACTGAGAACCTTTCAGTAAAATGTTTTCAGTTGCGTGTGTGTGAGGTTAATTTTCAGTAGTGTGTGTGCGAGGTGTTCAGTAGTGAATGTGAGAGTATTTCAGTTGTGTGTGTGCAAGGCCAGATGTTTTCAGTAGTGTGTGTGTGCGAGGTGTTCAGTAGTGAATGTGAGAGTATTTCAGTAGTGTGTGTGTGCAAGGCCAGATGTTTTCAGTAGTGTGTGTGTGAGGTGTTCAGTAGTGAATGTGAGAAGATTTCAATAGTGTGTGTGCAAGGCCAGATGTTTTCAGTAGTGTGTGTGTGAGGTGTTCAGTAGTGAAGGTGAGAGGATTTCAATAGTGTGTGTGTGAGGTTAATTTTCAGTAGTATGTGTGAGGCTTAATTTTCAGTTGTGTGTGTGTGAGGTGTTCAGTAGTGAATGTGAGAGTATTTCAGTAGTGTGTGTGTGTGCAAGGCCAGATGTTTTCAGTAGTGTGTGTGCGAGGTTAGTTTGAATTTTGGCCTACACGGCCCCTCATAGCTCACCGCTGCATGTCGACTCGTCAGCAGCAGCTGATCTCCCTCTCCCGTCAGATTAGACTTCACTCGCGTTTATGTCCATATCGATCAGATCTAGCTAGTTCTAGCAAATTATATGACTACCTGCTTATCAAAAGACATCTAAACAATAAGCGTTGCTATGCAACCGGGTGAGGCCGCAAAGTATAGCGCAGCATTATGCATTTGTTTACATGCCCACCGGAACCCCGAGGCATTACCAACAGATCAACGCACAATCAACCCATACAGGACACCTCTTTCTCCACATTAAATGATAGACATTAGAATTGACTATTCTTTTCCGTCACATACTCTTCTTGTTTGTCACATAAGTGGCGCAACTGATGCGGTATTGTGCTAAGGGGAAATAATTTTGACTGGACATTTTGACCGGAGAGATTTAGATTTGCCGGTCTTAAACATATTTTACCGGTCAAAGTCCGGTAATTACCGGCCAACGGAAACTCTGGTTGTGCCACCGTGGTAGGGCAGTTTCATATTGCATATTTGCAGTGGCGTTTTTATATGTACAAAAGTGGTGGGGCACAAAAAACTTAGATGTCTATATATAAGCTTCTGCAGTGACGTGCAGTGAGGTTCATGGCTGGTGAGGCACTGGCACTGACTCTTCAGGTTTACAAATATTATATTTTGACCTAAACCAAAATATAATATTATTTTCAAAAGCTTTTTTTGTCTGATGCTTCGATTAATTTTAAACAGACAGTTCAACAAAAGGATACCCAAAACATGTAATTTTATCATTTAAATATTGAATTGTTCTCTCTTAGTAAGATCCCATTTCCAATAAAATTGCGGTCTTACCTTGACTTGAAGATGAAGTCCATTTGCCTATCCTTCTGGACAAACATTTCTATTACTTTTTTGTAAAAGTCCTCCTTATCTTCTTGTAGTTTCAAAAGTCTATCATAAATCTAATCGATAGATTTATGATAAAAAAATTATAAAAGTAGGGTAGACATGTGGATGTTATCCGGCTGAACAAAACGTGCATTTATCTAACAGGTACGTTTCCCACAGATCTTATTTCGAGCTATTTTCTAAAATCCTATGGAGAAACCTCATTGCTTTTTTGTGCTTACTTCCTGGTTTTAGGACGCGTCACTGCAGCTCTCTCGTCTCCTCTTCACACACCACACTTTTCGCGGCACACATACTTACAGCCAATCAGCTCTGAATGATGTGAGATGACGTATGGTGGGGATGGCAGCTCAGTGCCCCTATGGTCATTATTTTTTTGCCACACACATTAAATAGGAAAATACTCTGAGCATGCGCAGTGTAGTTTTTACAGTCACCGTTCACTTCACAGCGAGAGGAAGGGGCATGATCAGGTTTTGTCCCACATGGCTCTAAACAGCTCAATAGGCACACACTGTGACTGTAGACACACTGATTAGAAGAACACAGACTAAAACAGCAATGTACAGACGAATCAGATGATTAAACATGATCTTAAAATATATTTTATATATATATATATTTTTTTTTTTGCATTTTTTGTAATCATTATTTGTAATACTTCTGCTGACACTAGGTGGGGCTGTGCCCCACCTGCCCCTAATGACCAGTCGCCACTGCATATTTGGCACACTGCCTTTGTCTTATCGTCGTCCAATTTAAAATGGTCCCACACAGCTGAAGTCTTCGGCATTTTGTTTTCAGGTGTGTGAAGCGTGACGTTCGCGTTCGTGACGCTGTGTGTGAAAGCGATGTCAGGCGCCCAAGCTGAGATTGTATATATTTCCGCATTTTAACAGTGCAATTAAAAAGTATAAATATAGTATAAGAATGTGGCAATTCGCCTTTATTGAAAGCATACATTTAGGAAAAAAACAAAAAAACCCTAATATCCGAATAACGAAATTGAAAACCGAATAGTAGGCCAACGACCGAATATTCTGATATTCGGGTACAGCCCTAGTTTATACATGAACATATTTTGTTGTTGAATTTTGTTTTACTATCCATCCATTGCAGATGAGCCGGATGAGCTTCAGTACATGTTCCTTACTACCTCCCATCAGAGGAATTATGAATGGACGGGAACGATGGGTCTAATACACCATGTTAGTTTGGAATTGCTAAACTCTTCACTCTATCCTGTGGACTCTGCCCCCGTGTCATGTCTTCCTTTATCCTACTGTACCAACACTCCAACGAACAAATACACTCAGTTTACAGTCATAGAAGTATAAAGAAGCCTTAAAGAAACTTGAACCTGACCTTTATATATTCCACCTTGTGTTAATGCCCTCAATGTGAACCCAGCTTTTACCTGTACTCTGGAGGTAGCTCCCAGTGCAACGAAATCAACCGCACTCAAATGCGTCGTACCACTTCACTATGTCTGAACATTTTGTAACCTTTGATTCAGTCACTCTCTGGAGTTTGTACTATATCTTTCACAACTTCCTCTGTGAAGGGCGAACAGCATGTTTGTACATCGGTAAAGTTAGTCTAAGATGAGAAACATGTCAGACCCAATTAAAACGCAGCCCGGGTGTCGCCTGACACAAAGTGACAGAATTCAGATTCAGTAAACAAAAATAAGAGCATCCAAACATCCCAAAGTAGTTCATGCTAAATGTGTTATCTATTTATTTTTTTCACACACTCTTCGATGTGTCCTTTTGCTCCTGTGTTACTTTGATATATGTGGTTGACTCTCTGAAGTGCTGACGAGCCTTTGATACCAGAAGGGCACAAAATAATATCTTCCCTTTGAAAAACAATTTCAGGGAGAGGGGATCAGTATAAATAGGCCTTTTTATGTGCACCAGGGGCCAATGTGAATCTGATGGGGAACTTGTGATAGGCTTTTTTAAATGGCAATGCAAAATTGATGAGTGGAGGGGCCTGGGCTGTTGTCGCGTGGATGGAGATGTGACTGCATAAGGACATCAAGGCCTTACACACACACACACACCACTGGGCAGATGCATGCAAATGTGGGCAGTACACAAAACACACGCAAAAACCCACATGTACGTGCACAGCCATAAACACACATTCAAAAGCAGGCACGCACACTTTATTGGCTTTACACTTACACTCCAGTCAGGGCTGAAGGCTTAATCAAGATATAGAGAGAGCGCAGGAGGAGAGGAGAAGATGGTCTGACCAGTCGTCTCCCTTTCTCTCTCCACTTCATCCCTCCATCCCTCCTTCTACAAGAGCCCGCTATCCCTGCTATCTGTTATCTCCACACAGCTGCAGACTGCGCCGCTCTGCACCTTGTCACCCTCCCCACCCACCACCACCAGCACCACCTCTTCCAATCTTGATGGGTATTGGGGAATGTAAGAGAAGAGTTTCCTGATAAAGCTGTCTAATGAACATACAGGAACTTTAGTAAGTTGAGCATCAAAACATCGAAGGCTGTTTGAACTTTGACTCCCCCTGCATTAGCGCAGAGTCCTTATCAGGCCTCTCGAGTGGAGAGATTAGCCACTTCCTAATGAAGTGGTGAAATCGTAAAGGTCTTACTCCAAGGCAGAGTGGATTGCTTCCAACATTTTTCACTCCGTTATCTCCAATACCCAGATTGCCATTGGAAAAAAAAAAGGTGAGGGTCCTCCCAGCCTCCTCCTTTCCCTTCTTGGGTTTCAGGTCACACTGACAAAAATATGACATCAGATCAAGCATATAAACTGTCAAAGTAAACAATTACATCAAACACTGAAGCAGAGAAAGTAACTTATGCGCTGCACTTTTTTTTGGGATACTTTCCCTCTTGGTAGCTTACTTTTTTACCCTAAGCAGTTGAGTGGAGCTGCATTATCTAAGTGATCCCCTGTGTTTTAGTCAATCAGGGGGCTGCAGACGACTTATAAATCTTACATGCCTCTGCTTCCCAGTGAGGTCAGACACACATTGCATATTCAAAACCTGCATCAAGACACCCACCCCTTTTCTCCCACTCACAGTTCCCGTTGCAGCCCCAATCAAAATAAACACACTTTTCATCAATCATCAGATTATCATACAAATAGACGAGTTTGTGATGTATGCAAATGAACAGAATATGGGGCGATGATCCGTCTGCATAATGAATGTGCTCTTTGTTTAACGGTCATCAGGTCTACCACTGCTTACATCTGTACCATTGTTGATGGACACGAGGATGTGCTGATGATATTCTTGACTGACTTGCATGCTTTATTAATATTCTTGGCAGGGCTTCCAGTTTTAACCCTAATCAGGGGATGTGGTCGAATACATTATGTTTGAGTGTTGAATTAATGTAATTGAAGAATTTAGAGCTATAACGTGCGGATTACTGCACCTCTAACCTTGTGCATTTTATGTTGTTTACTTTTCATAATAGTGTTTGCATTACATTTGCTGTTTAATCATTATGACAGACAGAGAACTTTAAACTTTTTATCACTGAAAAAGCTGAATAATTGCTGTCCATATCTATCAAATCTAATTATATTCCAGCAAATGATAGCGAAAAGCAAGCATGTAGAGTGAGAAACCTTTCTAATGTACCATCCCACTTACTCATACTTTTTAGTATAATGCATATTCCGGCCGATGCATTATTCACAAATTAAGAGCCAGAAATTTCAGTTTCCACCTAAAATCAAGCTTTTCAAACAGACAGGAGAGCGAGAGTACAAGAAGTGTTGTCAGTTCTGGCCAGCGTACAACATGCATCTCAATCCCTGTAATAGCACTCCTTATTCTGACACATGTTAATAATTGATTGTTAAGTGATAAGCCTCGCTCAAGCATGAGAAATAGCCGGGGCCCCGAAATAAATATGAAAACCCATCGCAGTATAATTCATAAGGTTGTGTTCGATCAGTGTTAGGCGTCGCTCAGGGTTCTCCATTATTCATAATATAGCCTAATATGCTTCGTACTTCCTCTTTCTGACTTGAGTCATTAATGGTCTTCTCCCTTATGGTTTGATTCAAAGACGGTGATTGACCATATGATTTAAATGCAACATTGTGAAGTTAGAATATCAAAGTTAATAATTAGCATTATTTTGGTAAACCAGACGCATTCGTTTATTCTGGTGGAAGGCAGCAATTGAACAGTCTAGTCAACAGTTTAATTTACAAATCTTCCTGCTCAAAATGTCATCTCCTTATCTATCTTTCTCACTTGTTGTATTTATTTTATCTAGCAAGGGGACTTGTTGTCTTTTTGCTTCTTACATGCCGTGGCCCAAACATCTTTCTAGCACATGTTTTGAAATAGCAGTGTATTTTCCCAAAGTCCTGCTACTTATCACTACTCATTACACCAATCCTCAGGAGGGCCTCTAAGTTTGATTTGTATCCAATATCAGGAGGTGAACACCTAATGAGATTTGCATGGACTTTTCCTTCCAACTTCATTAGCTTTTTATGAATGATCGGCGGGTGGGAGGCCTCCTCTTGAAATCCCCATAGGCATCAAAGCGCAAATGAAGAAGGGCTAGGGTGGATGTAGGGAGGGATGGATGGTGTAAGAGAGAAAACAGGAATTTCTCGTGGCAAGAGAGAAGCTCTCTCTAGAGACTCTCACAGATAGCCCTGCGAGAGGCTCCCATCAGGCAGAAGCCGAGGAGCCTTAAGTGTTTTATACGAATTCAATACGGCGGTTAAAAATACCAGAGGGAATATCACATTCATATCTCTGTCGCTCGCCTCACTTAATACTGGGATGGTTGGCTGGGTGGATGGAAAAGAGAGGAAGAGAGAGGAAAAGGGTTTAATTTGGCCCTCTCTCAGCCTCTGCTGAGGGGGTGACAGTTAATTCTTGATGTAGCAGTCAGCAGCTGCTGGGTAACTCCTTTCTACACAGGCTCTTTATATAATGAAAGCATCCCACCAAGTGCAATTACATTAAGGCCAGTTTAAGTCGGTAAGTGAGATGATACAGCTATTTTTCGCAGTAGCTTAATTATCAGATCCATCATGATTCACACAAGTGGGGATTTTTTGTTTTTTGTTACCAGATTGCTTGTTTAAGGGCCACAAACTATATTCTTGAGGGAATACGACTACAGTGCATGCAGCCGAGAGAGAAAATAATATTCACTAGAGGCTGAATGTGCTATTTAACTTTTAGGTGGGCTACGATTGACAACAGCAATAACTACAATATCTGTGTGAGTTTATAAGATTTTTGATTATTCTTACTCAGCATATACTTTTTTTTCAAATCTTCTGTTTTGCCTTGTGCTGGAACCGATATTACTGCAATATTTCATTGAAGATCTAAGAACCAGTGATCAACTTTTAAACGCAGGATGTTTACAAGGAAACTGTGCTAAATAATATTGTAGAGAGTATTGTCTTTTAAACGTCTTACATTAATTTATATTGTGACTAGATTTGGATTTAGATTGGCTTGGTTGCTTACCTTTGTAATGAAGATGACAACAACCATTCTTATTACTTGCTAATATGAGCACTCTTTTCTACATCAGCTAAGGAATTCCAAATGTGCATCATATTTAATGGAGCTGTTGTAGTGTGTCAGCCATACAGAACATTTTCAGAAATGGAAATGTCCTGTTGATGTTGATATTACTAACTTTACGCAGCGAATCCACAGGCACATTACCGTTTTATAAAAATAAATTGCAGGCTAAATAGTCCCTCCATTACCTGTAGAATCAAGGATGCACTAAGAAGTAATGTGAATAATTTGTGCATGTTTACTGTTCATTTTGTACTTGTACTTTTAATAATTTCTCTTTTCGAAGTATACTTTATTATTGCTAGAGTATACAACATTTTTGGATGTTTAACTGCAAATTAGTCAAAATCATTGCTTAAAGTAGTGTAACACCTCACATGCTCTACTGTAGGTGTGAACAATAGGACTGTGTTTGTCTCCTGCATTTCTACATTTTTGAGTGGCCATGTTGTTCCAAGTACAGATCTGTGTTTGTGTGTGTATATTTATTCATGAGAGAGTGATACAATGCATTCAGACTCATTGCAGATTGCCTGGAAGACTCACTTTGCTTTGTTTAACTCCCTCTGTGGTGATTACACAAAAAGAAGTGTAATCGGTCTGTGAGCATTGTGCCATTGTTTGGCTTTATCAATTAAATTAACCACCATTGCAAATCCTCCCATTGTGGACGCAGAGCGACTCTTATCAGCAACTGTATCATGGCAGTCAGGAGAAAATGAGCATTCCCTTCTGTGCTCCAACAATCTCATCATGAAACAATAAAAAAAGACACTGAATTTCTGTCCTTCTTCCGTTCCCTCACTTCTCTATCTTCCATTCACAGCTATGTCTTATTTCTCGTTCCCTTCTTCTTCTTCTCCCTCTTCTCCTCTTTAGCCGCTCTTGGCTGCTCTCCAGTCTCACTTAAACCCATTAGCTCTATTACTGAAATTATTTTGCTCCCCGGCCATGTCTTTGTGCAGAGGGAGTGAATTTCACAGTTATCAGAAGCTGTGGAGAATAGGGAGGAGTGTGTGTGTGTGTGTGTGTGTGTGTGTGTGTGTGTGTGTGTGTGTGTGTGTGTGTGTGTGTGTGTGTGTGTGTGTGTGTGTGTGTGTGTGTGTGTGTGTGTGTGTGTGTGTGTGTGTGTGTGTGTGTGTGTGTGTGTGTGTGTGTGTGTGTGTGTGTGTGTGTGTGTGTGTGTGTGTGTTCCCTGGCTGCTCATGGTTGCTTCTTAATTAATGCTTCTTTGTCCTGGAGGAGCTATAAGCAGAGAGGCGGAGACGGGATGGGGGAGTCGTATGCATTGACCTCATTGTGCCATTTGAGGGCAGTGCAGACTCAGGGTTTTGGGTAAACACACGGGCCATGTGCACACTCTGTATTAACAAAAGCGGACCATGTAAAAGTTTTGCTTCCTTTTTCCCCTTTCAGAATCTACTGTTTAAAGGGGGGAACTTTTAGATGTTTAATTTAAAGAAGACTTTACATTCTTATAAACTCTGAGGTGCATGTTCCTTTTCTGTATCAAAGGGTGTGGAGATCTGTGACATTGTCTGTATAAAATGTAATTATCAATTAATCATTAGAGTGTGAAAAATAGCCTGATTCAAATGATTTGATGAGGGAAGATAAGTGGGCGAAAATATTTTCTGGCATTTACATTTTACATTCAATAGCAAATATGATAAAGTATTCCAAATAAAATAATGCTGATTTTTTTTTTTTTAAAACAATCAAAGGAATATGATCAGATTTTCTGTTTTAATCTACTATCCAAAACTGTAAACTCAACACGGGCTATATTTTTTAGGCAGGAACAACACAAAAATAAAAATGTTTTTGATTGAAATATAATTAGTCTCGCCATGTAATCATT